AAAAACACTAAGTTTTCATTTTTTTTTTTTTTTGATTTTGATACTAAGTTTAATTTTTCCTTTCACCTTTGACACTATGTTTTTTTGTTCCAAATCGAACATCATTTTTTTCCAATTTTGTTCAATATTGACAATTTTCTATTTGAAACCGTATAAATATTTTTTTAATATATTTAAAACGTATAAATATGTTTTTTTTTTCATTTAAAAACCATAGTTTTATACAAATACAATTTTTTTTACACTCAAACCATATTTTTATATATAAATATGTATTAGTTATATAAAATTTGTATTTTATATTAAATATGCAACTTTAAAATATGTTTGGAGGTTTGGAGGCGTGTAGTCGATTAAAACTCGGATATCAAGTTTGCAGCCCATCAAATTTTTACATCTTATTAGAAGATTATTGTTAGTTTGATTCTCATGATATAACTAATGCTTTCAATGTAAGAAAAAAAAACACCTTGTATTTAAATAAAAATGTGGTTTTTAAACGAAAAAAATATGTTTATACGGTTTAAAATGTAATAAAAAATATATATTTATACGGTTTCAAATGGAAAATAGACAAAATTGAATAAAATTTGATAAATGATGTTCGATTGGAATAAAAAAAACATAGTGTCAAAATTAAAATAAAAAATTAAACTTAGTGTTAAAATCGAAAAAAAGTGAAAACTTAGTGTTTTTTGTGGAAAAAAATCAATTTTGACATGTCAGCATATCATGTCAGCATGTCACGTCATTAAAACTGACACGTCAGCATGTAACCTGGTTAACCGGTCAAGTGGTCAGAATTATAACAAATTGGAAAACACAGTGTCAAAGTTGACAAAAAAAAGACAGTGTCAAAATCGAATTTCTGTGTAAAAAGAGTGTTTTTTGTGTCATTTACCCAAATAAATAATATAAACGAAGGTAATATGATAATAACCAGATTGTTTGTGGGATTTTATTTAACAGTAGTGCAACTTTCATTTTTGACCAACAATAGAGTTAAAACAAAACATAACCTCTATCTACATCAACTTACTTATATATTTACCACATTAAACCCCAGATTCATATATTTTTAACCAACAAGATCAAAAGCTTTGTGGTGTTTTTCTGATACTATTACCTTAAATCAAATGTTCCAAGGATTAGGGTTTTTTATAGGGTGAGAACATGAGTAAAAAGAAAATATGAGTGCAAATCGAAGCATTAGAGCGAAAAAATGAACTGGGTGTTTAAAAACCGAAACATACCTTCTGATTTGTCGTTGTCTTGATGTCTAAATTACTTTAATATAACACTTGATTGAAAATAAAAACCTAAATATTCCTTATTTATATCATTTGAACACCCTCATTATCTGAAACCAAGCAAAAATGAATCAATGAATCTGAGAGGGGAAATGATTTTGCAAACAAACTCAAGTACATCCCTACAATATATTGCAATTAATGTAACATCCATCTCTCGAGGTATTATTTGATTATGCAAATTAATATTGGTTTTGGGCTTATGTTGGGCAATGGCCCCTTTTGGAATGGATCTTTGAAGTTTAGGCCAAGGTATGGGTTGCCCATAAGTCGTACGTGGGGCGTAACCCGACGTATGCGGGGGGTAGTAATCACATTGGATGCACGGGACTCGGGGGCGTACGCGCAGCGTACCATAAGGTACACCCAACGTACGCGGGGAGATGTCAAACCCTAATTTTCAGGGTTTAAGACATATATAAACCCCATTATAGCCTCCCCTTTGGCCTCCTCACCTGTCCCTCACTCTCAGAAAACCCTAGTTCGTCCCATACTCCATTGCTTTGTGTGCTTGGAGAAAAGAGCTTAAATGGAGGTTACGTTGGGCGTATACGTCAGTGCACGAAGCGTACCGGCCCTTTCAGCTGTACGCGCAACGTACATAGAGGTACGCTCAGTCAATGGACTTGTTGTTATTGGGCTCAGTTTGGGCCAAGTATTGGACATAGTAGGTGTGGGTTGTGTTGGGCCTGCAGAAGTCAGTTAAGGGATTAAGGTTTAGTAGGGTTGGAAAGGAAAGCCAAATTTGAAGAGTTGGGCCCAATTTAGAAAATTGGGCCATTTGGGGATTAATGGGCCTTAGTGAGTATAGTAGGACTAGAAAGGATTGGGCCTGCGTCATGGCCCAAATTGGATCTGAAGGGTAAAATAGTCATTTTACCCATAGAAAAATCCTCATTTCTGGCTAAGGTGCTGTTTGTTTTTTTGAAGTCAAAATGTCTGCAGTCTGCGGACCACATCTGCAAGCCTCTGCGGCAGAAGAGGTGGACCAAATGTCTGCAGTCTGCAATAAGAAGACTGTTTGTTTTTAACGTCTGCGGGCCGTTAAAATAAATTGAATTTTTAAACTTAATTTCATGTTATAAACATTAAAAATGTATTTTTAACAAAAAAATGAAAGAAAAAAAAACTGCACGGTGGTCATGTTTTTTTTTTTTTTTTTTTTTTTAGGTTAAAATGAGGTCTGAAGACCTTTGAAGACAGTGACCCATGTCTGCGCCAGGAAGATCTCGCGCAGACGTTTTCTGATCTGCGTACTTCCAAAAAACAAACAATCTGCGAGGGTATATGTCTGCGCGGCGCAGACAAAAGTGGTTGCGCAGATCTTCATATAAAAAACAAACAGCCCCTAAGTGTTCATTTGGTCATGATAGTCGGAGAGCAGACGGAACAACACTCAGGGATTTCTCACTCGGGTTTTCAGTAGTCAGTCATACGAGGTGAGTTTTCCTATAGTAGGAACGGGTCTAAGGCACCAATGCTAGCCTGTTTATGTAGTTGTAGTATGTCGGGGCAAGCCCGATGTCGGGGTTAGCCTAATGCGGTTTATATGTTCCAGACTTCGGTCCGATGCCAGGGCGGTCCCGAGAAGTAGTTAAGTATGCGTGATGTCTTTGTGATTCATGCGTGTTATATGATATGTGTTATGTATTCCGGGGCAAGCCCGATGTATGCTAGTTTATATGTTATATGTTATATGTTCTGGGCTTTGGTCTGATGTTGGGGCAAGCCCGATTCAGATTATGTGTTTATGTTGTGTGTTTATGATATATGTTATGTTGTGTGTGTGACGGGGTAAGCCTGATGTCGGGGAAATCCCGATGCCCGATGCGGTCGGATGTCGGGGTGAGCCCGATGCCGGGCAGGAGTTCGATGTCGGGATTTGTCCCGATGCAGTTGGGAGTAGTCCCAGAGTTATGTTATTTGTGATATGTGCTTTGTATGGTATGTGGTAGTTTGGGGGAGCTCACTAAGTTTCGTGCTTACAGTTTCAGTTTTGGTTGCAGGTACTTCAGCTAGTAAAGGGAAGGGATCGAGTTGATGGCATAACACTCACCACAATGGATTAGTCTGGGAGTCTCTGGTATTTGTTATGAGACTGTTATATGTTTATCAGATTTTATGAGTTTTCGAGATACATGTTTTATGGTTTTACACTATGGCAATGAGATCTATGCTTGATAAATAATTTTGAAAACAAAAATTTTGGCTTGTATTTTTGGGGTGTTTCAAGTTGGTATCAGAGCCTTGGTTTGAGGGATTCGGGCACACTTTCGGGTGTGTCTGAACTCAAACTAAGGAGTTGGTATAGAAAATTTCAAAAGGAAAATCAATATTTGCAAAAGAAAAGAGTTTTAGAAAAAAAGTGAAAAGAAATTGTTTCTTTTGAGAAAAGAACTTTGAAAAGAGAAAATGGTGTGGTGCATGCAATCAGACGAGCTCAAGTAAGTACTCCCAAATTACCCATACAAATTTATGTTATGATTATCAGCTTTATTAGAACATCATGCTAGATTAGGACTAAGGATCTAAGGAGGATGCCTTATGTGCTTGATATATATGTTTTAGTTTTATGAGAACTGCATGCTAGTACAGATTAATCATGATGATAGCCTACATAGTATATGCTTGATTATGTGTACTCGATGTTCGAATGCTGCTTGATTGGTGCTTTTAGGAGTTCTAGTTGTCTTTCACTAACTAGTAAACGAATATGTAATAGTATTCACGAGCTAGTTAGGGGAAGAAAGCGGGGACTTCTTATGCAACTGATGGTGGAGAGTGGGATGGTGATTACCCTAGGGAAAGCCTAGGATGAGAGTAGCAGAGAGCAGTAGCAGTACAAGAGATTTGGTGGAGTCGAGGCAGTTCTTGAGGAAAGTATTGATATATGTGGAAGGTAGCAGGGAGCAGTAGCAGTGCAAGAGCATGCCTCATAAAAATAGATTGAAAATTATTGAAGTAATTTCTTATAGAGAGAAAAAAAAAACGATGACTTTCAATTTAATCAATTATAACATAGATAAATAATATGAGGATTCAAAAATTCTATGAATAAAAACAAAGATAAATAGTTCAAAGATTTTTTTTTTCCTTGTAAGCTACTCACATTACAACATTGAAGAGTCAACAATAGATTGCCAGAATCTGATTTTTGCCACATTCTCGAATATATATGTACACAAAATAAATAGTATTTCCACATAAGAAACAAACATACCTTTGGCTGCGAGAACTTCAAGGGTCTTCTGACTCTTCCATCTCATTCTCTTTCTTTGACCTTTGACTTTTGACTTTCAACAAACAACTCCTCTATACTTTTCTTCTCCATTTCCTTTTATGTCCATAAACCTATTCAAAAGAAAAAGAAAAATAAACTACTAAAAAACTATTCAGTTGTTTTTTATTATTTTCAAATACTACCTTATGGCTTTCAAAAATTGACAATAAAATCTCTACACCAAGAAGCAAAATTGTATTTCAATTTTTACATGAAACAACACAGCTGAAAGTTTATAAGTAATAGAATGAAAGAAACAAATCATGTTTTTTTACGTAGCTTTACCAATTACCATCTTGTCAATTTCTCATCATAAATAAATGTTATTTTTGTATATGAGAGAGAATTTTATACGTTAACAATTGTTTGGATACTAAAATTGGTAAACATTACACCCGGGATGTCTTTCACACAATTAACATTGAGGAAGAGACCACGATATATGTCTTCATAGTAAGAAACATGATATCCATGATTGAAGCTCATACCGCAGCAATGACTTATATATATATTTTTTATTGTTAGTTTAAATATATGAATTCCTAATTTTATAAGTTGTATATATTATTTAATCGTGTTACTGGCTCTCTGTTATCATATTAGATATATGTTGAGTATTTGGTTGATTTTTCAAAAAAAAGTCCAAAAAAAATGGGAATCCAACATATATAGTGAATCGTAATGATATAGGATACACTAAAAAAAACTCTTTAACTTTTTGTTCTTTTAGTAATTGAAGTCATCAATTGATGAAAAAGTGAGCGATGGAACAAGAATATTAAGGTGCGATTTATTTCTCAAAAAGTTATAAAATAGTTTGAAGAGTTTCTTTTTCATAATTTTTTTCATTTTGAAAAAAATATGAAAATTTTTGCTGTATATTGTGGGAGCTTTGTTAATCACATCTTTTTCATCAAAGCTTGTAAATTTACATGCTCTTGATGATAGTTTTTTCAATCATTTTGGTTGATCCATTTTACAAGCATTACCGAATGGACCAACTTGTAAGAAAAAAAATAGTAAATTGGTATAAGTTAAAACTGGGGGTCTTATAAACAACTTGACGAAAAAAATGTAGTGTAACGATTTTTAAAGGTTTTTGGACTTAAATAAAAAAGTCGATTATTATGGATGTTTGTCGTGTTTGACGCATATAATTTAATTTATTTTTTGAGTTTATTACAATGTAATATTTGATGAGCCAGCTAATATAGTTTACAAGCTAGTTTTTTTAAAAACTTGTTAGAGATATTTAATTGATAATCTAATTAAGTTTTTTCCACAAGTTTTCAAATATACCCTTCCTCAAGTTAAAAAAAAGTTAGATTTTTAGTTAAAAGTTAGTTTTTCGAATTTATACTAAATTTTAAAGGACTTAAATGGTAATTATTAAAAACTTTAGGGATGTTAAGGAAACATACATCAAAATAAAAGCCCTCTTTCAATCTCGTTTTTCTCTCAACTGTCTCTCCGTGTTCAACTCGCGTTTCAGCAAAAACATTTGAGAGAGAATTTTCTTCACAAGCAGCCTTTCCCGAAATCGGAGTCGTAATAAATTTTACTTTTAAGAATTGCCACTATTCTGATATTGGATCTTACTACGATCGCAATTTCCAATTTTGTTTCACGTTGAAAAGGCTCTGATTTGTGGCGGATTTCACCGAATCCTAATTGATTTTAAAGGAATTTGGTGAATCGATTTGGTAACCGTACCACGGGACGAATTGGAAGCAGTTCGAGGATTTCATATATTTGATCATAGATTTTTGAACGAAAAAGGTTAATTTTTGTCGATAAGTGTGATTCGATAGAGCGATGTTGACATCAACAGTTAGGTTTGTGATGTAATATGGCATTGGCTCTTACACGATTAAACAATGTCGCTTTACATTGGTCGCGAGACTTTCAAGGTATCCAATCTTTTCTCTAAACTACTTCACTAATCTTAATCGCATTCGTTGCACAAATTAATATCATAATCCATCTTCTCTTGTTGATCTGTTTCCCTTTTTGCTTTTTGAAAAGCTCTGGAAAAGAATTAGTGCAGAAACTACAACTGAAGTCAACCTTCTAGCGGAGAACTGGAAGTATGTTCTCGGCGGTTTAATTTGCCAGGTATTTTTCTTCTCAATATTCAATTGATGATATGCTTTTCAGCATTTCCATCGATTTGATAAATGAAATCGAGTGTGATGATTGAATCAGTTAAACATCCATAACTCATGCCTCTATTAATTGCATGATGCATCCTTAACTTCAAATTGTCTGGTTTCAAAAGCTTGATTTGTACTCCACTAATTTGCTTTATGTCAAGTAAATGCTAAAAGCTGTCTACCATATTCAATAGGATGTTTACACTATTTTGTACTATATCTAACATATCTGATTGTGATTGAGGTATAACTCTTTCAACATTTTATCGATTCTCTTACTTTTTTTTGCCATTTCTTCACAGTACATGCATGGGCTAGCTGCTCGAGGTGTTCACTACATTCATCGCCCTGGGCCAACTCTACAGGACACTGGATTCTTTCTACTTCCGGTAAGGTTAAACACAGAATGCGTTTCCTTCATCTCTATTAATGATCATGTGATAAATCTCATATAAATTTATCAAATATGGTTTTTTAGGAGCTTGGAGAAGAGAGAGCATACGTTAGTGAGACAGTTTTTACTTTCATCTTTCTATCTTTTGTCTTGGTGAGTGTTTGATTTAATTTATCTTTTTCAAATTGTTTGCATTTTTTCTCATAAGTTGTTATTTTTCTCTTTGATTTGTGGGACAGTGGACATTTCATCCTTTCATATTCAAGACCAAAAAGATCTACACTGTTCTAATATGGTGCAGGGTCCTTTCATTCTTAGTTGTAAGTTGTACCTTTTAATATATATTATATATACACACAACACAGTGAATTTTATTAGCTAATAAAAGTTTTTGTGTAAAATGTAAATTTATACATTACAGGCTTGTCAATTTCTTCGTGTCCTTACATTTTATTCTACTCAACTTCCTGGTCCAAACTACCATTGTAGAGAGGTAAAATAAAAAATGGGTTGGAAATTGAAATTAAATTTTCATTTTGTTTATTTCATTTTTTCTTGTGTAGGGTTTTATTTTGTTCCATGTAATAGAAAATAAAATTTATTCTTTATGATTTTAGGGTTCACGCCTTGCAACATTGCCTCGTCCAGATAATCCTCTTGAATTTCTATTAATCAGTAAGCTTCATTTATATTTATTTAATATATTTATTTTCGATGCAATCTATCAAGTTTCTGATATTATTTATATTTCCTATATTTACAGTGCCACGTGGTGTGCTTTATGGATGCGGTGATTTGATATTCTCATCCCATATGATTTTCTCTCTTGTATTTGTGCGAACATATCAAAAATATGGTACACGGAGGTAAGTTTTCAACTTTTTTTTTTTTTTTTTTTTTTTTTTTATTTTATCCGTAATTCACAGACTTTTTTTTTTTTTTTTTTTTTGTTTTCTTATTGCAGATTTATAAAACAATGTGCATGGCTAACTGTTGTGATTCAAAGTTTGTTAATTATTGCTTCTCGCAAGCATTACACAGTTGATGTTGTCGTCGCATGGTATACAGTCAATTTGGTTGTTTTCTTTGTTGACCGGAAGTTGGCAGGTTAGTCACATTCTAAATTAATAAATAAATAAAAAAAAGGATTTTTCAAATTAGTAATTCTAAAAAAAATGAAAATTATAATTTTTGCAGATATGCCTGAGCGTAATATAGGGGCGCCTATATTGCCATTGAGCAAAGATGTCCGGATGAAAGAAGAGAATATTAAACTTGTGAATGGCAACCCCGGAGATCCTGTAGATTGGGTATGTTATGTAAATAAAATATAATCACTTCAATTTTTTTTTTATTAATATAAGTATTTTGCTATTATGATTATAAATTTATAATATAAGTAGTTGACATGGATTTAATATGATGGTGATACAGAGATTGAGAAATCAAGCGAATGGGAAAGTTAACGAAGATAGCAATGGACTTCATGTTGATGTATTGGATGGTGTATAGTCAACGAAAGTCAAAATCACAACTTCAACAATTTTAATTGGGTAAGAAATACGATTTGAGGCGATTTGAGGGCATGTTAATATGTGTTATGTTGCTACATGTCGATGTTGTCCTCTATTCATTTTATTACAGAATTTTTAATTTCTCTCAGTTAGCATTTTCAGTTTTTTTATAAAATGGCAATTGTATATGATTCCACCAGTACTTGTACTTTATTTATCTATGCTATCGTTATTCAGATAAATCGATAAAGTCCAAAGAACAACAAAAAAAAATAAATAAATAAATAAATAAAGTTCTCATTCCACCATTAAAATGAACAGCGTAACGTGTACAATGAACATTGAAATAACTATATGCTCCCCCCGTGTATGGGATTATAACCAACCATATATAATATGTGTACATCATGATGGTATATTGAAGTGAAAAAGCCATGATATCACAAAAGCGAAAACCAAACATGCTAGAATGAAATTCAATAGTCTATGACCATTGATGCATCCACGACCTCCCCGTGTTGCTGATGACATGTGTGTGGGGCCCACAATTATTGCTCCGGGATTCATATCTATCGATCCGTGGATCGATGGCGTCTCATTTGGACCAATCAGATTGCTCACAATCGAATTGCAAATTTCACACGTCCTGATAAAAATATTATTAATATTACTATCCACACGTACCCTTGTTCATCAGGCGTTTGATATATAGTATGTATGAGGCGCAATCAGCAGATTGAACCTTATGCATACTAAATGAAATATAATATCGGGATTTATTTTTGGAACTTCGAGAGATTGAACAAAAAATGTTGTGATTATTAAAAAAATAGAACAGAATCCAATACAGATCATCCCATGACCATTAACAGCTGGAGTGATCCTTAAGTAATCTTGCATAAAAAAAGATATTTCATTGGATACTTTTCTTAGTAGTACAAAAGAATCTCATTATGTCGTGAATAAAGATCTACCACCAAAATTCTTCAATTAGTACATATTGGGGAAAAAGTATATATATTTTTTACCCTATATAATTATTCACATGATTTTGGTGATTTTATTATTGGTCTTTTCAAGATATAGACATTTTTTAATTGACCCATATCTGATAACTTATGAGCAATAATAAACAGTTTTTTTTTGTTTTTTGTTTTTTTGTGGAAACAAAGCATGGGAGTGAAATACAACGGTGGAAATTCATTGTTTTGTATGGTAAACAAGCGAAACAGAAATTTTTCCCTTACAATAAAAACAAGTTGTTTGCATGAGGGTATTTTGGTAAATGTAGCATAATACAGAATAATTATAGAATTGTCGGTGTAATAATTATTATTTATTGCTTTTATTCGACACTTCTTCTTCTTTTCTCCTTTAATCCTTTAATTAAATCGAACTTCTTTATCTTTTACACCCACTAATCAGTTTTTAGGAATTTAATCAATTTTCTTACCATTTTTAAGAATAAATCAATATCTACACAAAAAAAAAAAGTATAATTTCTTTATTAAAAATATCCTACCAACAACAAATAGTGATGTTAAATTTGAAGTGTTAGAGATTGAGTTTGTAAGTCAAATATAGGCTGCTTGTATCTTATTCCTTTTCAAGAATGTTGAGTAGCATTAACTAATCATAAATTCGATAACTTAAACCAAGGGTTAATTAAGTAATTTAACAGGCATCTATAAAACTTTTCAATGCACAATAAAATCATGATAATCAATTTTAATGGCACACCCAAACCCAAACCCAAAATAAACAAGAACAATGACATTTTCAAGGTTTGATTGAATCGAATCGAGTCGAAAAGATTATGAATTTATGATTATGATTTGGAATGGATTGAATTAATTTAGGGAGGTATCAGGAAATAACTCACTTGTTTCCCTTGATTTTGAACCAAGTCTCGGCACAATGTTTATGCGCAACAGCCAAATCATCTTTACAGCAACACCCCAATTCAATCGCATCATCATCACCATCATCATCAACCAAGCTCAGGTGACAAATTCTGCAATCTTTCTCAACCTTCTTCCCCAAATGCACAATAACTACTTTACCCTCATCTCCGATGACATTCACCGAGCAATCGGACCCGACAGACGACACTCTCCTCGAGTTCCGGGAAGCGTGTCCGATTTCGGGATCATCGTAGTTTCCATCGCCGTAAGTCGAGTAAAATTGGGAGTAACAAGAACCCTCTTCCGCATCGGAAAAACATTGGTTGTCGTCGGAGGTGGAACGGCGGAGATGATGTGTAGCAATTTCATTTTCACCATTACCACCGCATTCTAAATCAATGACATCGGTGTGTTGGGTCATCTCCGAATTCGGCATATTTTCAGGGTTTGAGTAAGAAGAGGTGGATCAAATCAAAAGGGGGTAGTACCGTAGTAGTAGTAGCAGAAGGTAATCCTCCATAGATGTTGTGAAAGGAATTTAAAGGTAATGTAGAGGAGAATGGAAATAGATAGGGGAAAGAGAGAAAGAGAGAGAGAGGAGTGGAGGAAGCTTTATGAGTGTGAAGTGTGGGGTTTTGCAATTGCGAAAAAGGAATGAGATTAGAAGATGATGTATACAGGTTTACAGCAACATCTGCAGACGATGATTCGATTATTTACGAGTGAATGAGATAATTGTGAAGGAAGGGGTAGGGTTGGCTTGCGAGTGAGCTGTGATAAGTGAGACGGTTGGGGCTGGAAACGAGCCGAGATTTGTTGGCTTCCTAACAAACTCGATCATTTCTCTTACGCTATTTATGCTTTTACCAAGTTTATCACTTTATATAATTTATTTTCATACACATACATACACTTTTTATTATTTAATAGCAATAAAAGGTTATGTTTATGCAACAAAAATATTGCATATTTTGATATGATAATGATTATAATTTGGTCTATAATACATAGGTTAAATGTGAAATGTTGTTTCATATATTATAACTTAAATTGTAGATTTGTATCATATCTTCTTTTGTATCTAGAGTAGATAGGTTTATTAAGGAAAACGAATTATAAAGATAATTATGTTTCAAAATCACTCAAGTTTAGTCAATTTAAAAAATATTATTCAAGGTTTTTGTACAAAACATATCAATTAACTACATACTTTGTTAAAATGTCGTCTTATGCTAACCAATTTTTACCGGTAAAAATTAAGATAAAAAAGCACAAGAATCATGAGGGTAGTTATGTTTCAAAATCGTTTAAAAAAACTCATTCAAGTTTAGTATGTTCAAAAAACATCATCTGAGTAAAATCTGTGTACAAAAAAAAACACCAACAAAATATACGTTTTGTTGAAATGTTACATACTAGTAAACGGCTCTTTATTTTAAAAGATGATTTGGCCTAATTATTATGATATTACATAATAAATTAGTGATATGACATTAATTGATATATTACTCATTTATAAATCGATTTAGGCTTCTTCATGAACGAATGACTTATTCTTTTCCTCTAATTGTTTCTTTTTCTACTAAATTGATGATCTCCAACTCAGGTTCATACATTTCAAAGATACATAAGACATTCAATGATACAAACCCTTATGATTATGGGACATCCTTCTCTAATTTGGACATCAACTATGAAGACTAACCGTGACAAAAAAGTTTGGGGTTTGTCCCAACCGAAAGCTTTATCATGTCCTTCTCTTATATATTTGCTTGGTTATGTGATTTGTTTTTTTGAATATATATATATATATATATATATATATATATATATATATATATATATATATATATATATATATATATATATATATATATATATAAGATTAAACCCCAAACTTTTTTGTCACGTTTATCGGTTGGGACAAACCCTTGGTATGTTGCAACATGCCTGTTATAATCATAAATGGTTATATAGCGTCACCCTTTCCTTTCTCCTTCGACACCATCCCCACTATTATAACCGTTGCCGACACCGCCATCTCTACCACCAGCCGACCCCACAACTGTCATCTCCATCACTTATACCACCGCCACCTCTTTTGCCACCAACTATCATAATCATATATGATTACTCAGTCTGTGAACAAACATATATGTATACTCATTTGTGATTAGGCATATACGTATAAACATGTATAATCATATATGATTATACATTTTTGTCATATAATCATTTATGATTAGGCATACATTGTTGTTGCCGGTACGCTGAAGCAGCAAATAAAAATATATATGACTCAGGTTGAATCTCAAAATTTCTACTTTTTTTTTATAATCTCAAAGGATCCGTCCCCTATAAGAGAAGGACATGATAAAGCTTTGATTCAGCTAATGCCTTACAACATACCAAACTGGAAGAATTTCCAATCCTTCTCACGACCCATGACCATTTGCTAGAACTCACGCTCATCCATGTTAGGGTTTCAACACCAGCTAATCCAAAAGATCACACAACTTCTAAAATCTGAATAAATCTCCGGTAATATCCCGCTAGACCCAGGAAGTTCCGAATCTCAATTGGAGACCTCGGAATCTCCTACTGCATCACGGCCTCTAACTCGGCCGGATCGACTAGAATATCCTTCTAATTGACAAGGTGCCCAAGAAATTGCACCCCGCGCAACCGAAACTCACAATTGGAGAACCTTGCAAAAATTCTCTCCCTTCTCAAAGTCTCTAGCACCTCCCTCAGGTGCTTCTCGTGTTGATCCCCAGTCTTGGAATAAACCAAGATGACGCAGTATCTTCCCAATCCCGTAATCTGGGTAATTGCTTTATCATTATTCGCTAATGCTTCTCGGCATGCAATTGGCATATGACATCTCTTGAAAATATAATTTAGACATAACATAGAATAACTCATAGTAACATTTACTCACACCCTTGGAATGGAAAACTCCATCGTGTAGTTTCCCGCACATGCTGCACCAAATCTGGTCCTGCAGGCCTCTCAAAAGCTAATCCTAAATCTTGGGTCTCCTCCCGAGACCCTTCAATTTAAGCAACTGATATGGTTCCCTCTTACCAATGTGCTCCAAGTCCATATCCCGTTCTCAAACTCTAGAAGTCATATCATTCAGGGTCTTGCACCCCTAGATACTCATGATCTCCCCGCTATCATTCTACAGTATGTTCTGATAACTTACCTTCTTCATTTCCTCATCTGATGCATACTGTGGTACCAACTGAGCTATCTCTCTCTCTCTCTCTCTCTCTCTCTCTCTCTCTCCCGAGACTTGGCAGTGACCTCTGCCACAGTCTCAGTAGTCTGGTGGAGATCTAACAACTCTTGCGC